TAAGATTTCAAAGACAAGTAACCTTAGTGTTCTGTGAGGAAATGAAATCCCTTCACAGTGACTCCCCTAAATTCTTTACTGGCATTAAAACGCTCCTCTCATGTTGCTCTTCCACAAAGTAACGCTAATTTGCATGAACTAGTTAGAAGAGTGCAAATTCAGTGCAGCGTGGAGAATGTAAAAAAAACAAGAACTTTTTGTCTAATTCTTGCTAAATTGCAATTTTTCTAGATTCAGTGAGTTCATCACTTTATTTGTGACTTAAATATTGGACTGTTTGCTGTATAGTGGGTTTAGTACGGTGGCCCCGAGGTTTAAACGAACAATATATTAAAAAAAAAACAACAGAATTACATTTCAAAAAAACGAAATGACAAATTTTAGGTGAATATCTTTTTTGTTTACAATTTTCATATGTTTTGCTACGTCTCTGTTCCAAATAATGTTCCTTAAATTCAAACTTGATCTGTATATGTCAAATTGTTTGTACAAATGTTGACATTAAGAGGTATGACAGAGGATTCTTCACAAGATTATCAATTTTTTTGTTTGTTTTTTGTGTTCTATAAATAAAGTAAAATAAATAAATAAATAAATAATAAAATATATATATATATATTTTTTTTTTGCACCAATTCTGGTTTGGCTTAGTGCAATTGTGCTTTTTCAAATGTTTTGTTTAAACCTCAGGGCCACCGTAGTTTAAATCAAGTAATGGGTTATAATTCCCATAGAAATTATCACAATTATTGTCTAACTTTTTCTCTACTTGCCACCAACAAATCAAATTCTAAAACATGTCCAAAGCTTTGTTTTGTAAATGTACATTGTTCTCATGCTGATGTGGACACATAACACAATATATACAGCTGTTTACTCAATAAATAATACTCTTAGAGCTCAACTTGTCCTTAAAGTTGTTGAATATTGTCTTTTATAAACCATTAACTGAACAGACCTACTTTGCTCTCTGATTTTATATAAATCTGTCAAGGTGCAACTTATAGGAACATACAGAGGAAAGAATTATATCAGTTGAAATAGAAGAATAAACCTTTTTTTAATTATTCCTCTTGACATTTGCTTTGAATCAGCCAGAGCACTGCATTGTCTCATTGATACAACTGTGTGTTTTTCAAATCATAATTTTCAAAGCCTGCACAGTCTGCTTGAATTTCAGGTTATTTAAGATTCAGTTAGTTTATCTGAATATTCATGATTTTCCCCCCAGAATTGCCACCAGGGGGCAAATATTCCTGTCTTTACAGTAATTGCTCTTTTTTTGACCTTCATGCCCTTTTCAATTATTTTCTTTTCATTATTACTCACTGATTTCTTTTTAAGACATTACCAAATCACAGACAAGCACTTTTGAAAATAAATCTGACATTAGTTTTTCTGCATTTCATGTTCAATAAAGTGATTAAAATTTTTTGGAGAAAAAAAATCCATTATAAAAGTTACATAATTGTTAAAAAAAATTTTTTGCTGTGGTACTTTTTGTATTATAATACATTTTGCGTGCACAGATGCAACATTGTACCATTTCAAAGCTGCTATCTGTTTCAGGAGATTTCAAGCTTTCATTTCAATCCTCCCTGTGTTGAGTCTGCTGGGGCAGATGCATGTGTTACACACTCCCAAGACGAGGGCCGCAGCAAACTACTCAGCTAGTGAGCGGCCCCCGTCACCTAGTGGTGGTGGGGGGGGCAGACATAGAGGGCTAACCTTGGAATCCCCTCCCCCGCTGCCACATTCTCCTTTGTCATACCACCACTTGTTTTTCAATTTGTCCAACAGGCCCTGCTCGTTGAGTTTTAGCACGGCCAGGTTGACCGCGTTTCTTTAAGTAAAAAAGGAGGGACAGATAAAATAGTTTCGTCAGAGCAGAGGATGGAGGAACAAACAGACAAGATGGATGAAACCACAGGCAGGAGGGGAAGGAAGGGGGAAATATAAGGAGAGGAAGCAAAGGGAGGAGAAATCAAGAAGTTAACGGTATGAAGGTGAGCTGCAGGGGAGAGATTCACCACAAAAACCCTGTGTCTATTTGCTAGAATATGTCCTACAATCTGCTTGAATTTCAGGTGTTACTTTTTCTATATTTCTTTGCTGTGTAACAGCTTGTGACATGAAATGACACTACAGCGTCAGACTGCAGTTAAAACCATGTCTATAGCCCACTTCTCCTAAAACAACAGTTTCCTTTTAATCTATGTTGATGAGTACTGTCTGTACTTCTGTGGGTTGAGTTTTTTGAAGCCTTACGACAAACAACACTGAACAGACTAACAATTTAAAAAGAATCCAGGGTCAAATATCTCCATGTCCTGCATTGTGTAAAACGTACTGCAAATATGACAGTACGCCACTCAACACCTGCTCTTGTCATTCAACCTATATTTATACAGGTTAGTCCCATTGAGCTTCGGGGACTCATTTGCAAGAGAGACCTGTCAAGGGCGGATGCAGTTCCCCTTCTCTCCATCTCTGCTTTGCTTTGCTCTGTCTGTCTGTGAAACTGCTTTAGAGCCTCTCTTCTTCAAATCTTCTGAATTGCAATTCTGCTATGGATTTCATCAGTTGGTCCCTCAACACAATTGATAACATTTCTCTGAAGAGAAGACAGTCTTTAGGTGAGCCGGCTTGTCCTGTTGGTATGCAGCTGGATATCTCATCAACTTGGAAGACTTGGGGATGTGTCTATCTCTACTGCAAATCAAGGATGTTAAGGACACATATATAATTGGATTTATGATGACTGGTTTCCTGCTTTTTGGATTTGGCTGGTTCCTGGTCTATCAACAAACAAGGAAGTCGTTGGCAGCAAATTTGGACCTGGTCAGGTTGCCTGCCTTATGTGATGGCTTGGTTCGTACCTTGAGCAACCAAACTCAAATGCTTTTGGCAGGATGGATCAGATCTCAGGGAATACTCTCAAGCACGGACCAGTGGTGTGGTCACTTAATTTGGACGTTTCGAAACCGAGAGGATGATACAGACTCAAAGTAGACATATTCAGTAAAGTTCTGTCTGTCCCCAAAACAATCGTGTTTATTTGAATTCGGCTCCTAGCTGGCCTTGACAGGCCATCTTGTCTTAATTTGCCTGGAAGCTCAGTAAACCCTGATGCTCTGTCCCCGACCCCCTCCCACCGAGGAAGTCTATGAAACAATCAGAGGGGCCTGGCTGAATAAACATTGTATCATCATTTCAGGACTCTTTGGATTCTATCTGATGTTGTCCTTGGCCTCCTCGTCACCCCCCTGAGAGTGTTTACGGATCTCTCCAGAGGGAACCATGTGAACTGAGCGATTACACCACTCTTATCGGAGCTCTTGCAGTGTCTCTTGAGTGTCTTTGGACATGCTTACTGCCCTTATGGTCCCCAACCTCCCCCCGTGGAAAGTTGGCATCATTATGTGCTTGTGTGTGAGTTTTTCTTTTAATTTTCAGGCTATTAATCTTCAGCCGAAAATTAAGAACGCGGTAAAAAAAAATTTGCCTCCAAACCCTATGTCGGCACTTTCACCACTTTATTGTCTGTCTAAACAGGTCTCACTTGTAAATGAGTCTTCGAGGCTCAATGTGACTTATCTGTTTAAATAAAGGTTGACTGAATGAATGGTGTTAAAATCAGCGGACTGGAATTAGATACAGTGTATCATTTGGTCTGCTGTATGTCTATAGTCAGTGTCAGAGACAAAAGACATTCTATGAGATTTTTCTTTCTTTGTCTTTGATACTATTTGTTTCACATGTTTCTGCTTTGGTAAAATTGTGTATTTTATAAACTTTCTTATCATTCATTATTTTGTGCTGACACTGTCTGTGAATCATGATTTGTTTGAAAGATTCTGTGATGTCCTGGTTGAATCTAAAAAAGGTAACTTTTTTAGATGATTCTCCTATGTTTATCAGTCTGCTAGCCTAACGGTACGTCACAAGTCAGACTTAAGGACGATTAATAAAAGCATATGATGTACCCTGCAAAATGTTTACAACTATCCCTCACTTTTTGTACTTTGCTTCCAAGGGGCTACATCTTCTTGTATACTTTTAAAAGTCGCCTTGATAAATGGCTCTTCAGGCTTCATGATAATCTTTCAAACATTTTTTTCTTTGGATTTTGGCTGATTTTTCCATGTATTACAGATTATTGTGTGAGGTGGGTCTAAAAATGAGGAAAAAGAAAAAGTTAAAGTCAAACCAACAAAAAACAAGTAGAAGAAACTAATGTCTGACAGCCATGTCTTTCAGAAACACAAAGAATGAGCAAAGACCTCACATAAAAAAAAAAATTAATTGTCCTTCAGTTGATGTCTGCATGTCAGCTTTTAGAATCACCTTGTTGGAGTTAAAACATTATTTTATATATCAAACTCTTATCTTTGGGATTTTGTACCATTTTCAACTGTATAGAAATTCAAGACCGACTGCTGGTAGCAAAGTCTCCAAAGATCCAATTTAAATGCAGTTATTTGTCATATTTCAACACAACTCTGGGTTTCTTTTAGAAGCCTTTTTATGCCTGAATGATTCACAGGTCACAGTGGCTTAACAAACTAAAAATAAAACATTTATAAATAGTTAATTCGTGGACATGAATTGAGTGAACAAGCAGTCAATAAACAAATAGATAAATAACAAATAAATGAAATCTTTTTGAAAGCCTGAAGAAAAATTGATCAACAGCACTTTTAAATGTCCAGTCAAATTCTGACTCGTTGAAGCAAATTATGAATATAATATAATATAATATATTATAATATACTAATATAATAGTATAACAGAAACTACTCTGTAATAGTAATCAAGTGATTCGGAGAGAGGACAGAGTTGTCTGGGGTGATCTCATCTACAGGGTGTGACTTATCAACAAAGGAGATATGGATGAAAACATTATGTGGTAATCATTAAAACAACATGTCAGTCACTCATCAATATTCACATTAAATGCAGCAGAAAACATAAAATACATTATTCACAGTATACTTATTAAAAAAAAAAGTTCATGCTCCTCATTAACATTACTAGTCAAATGATCTGTGTGAACAGTGCACCAGGAGGAGACGCAGGATCAGATGACGTGCACACCCACAGCCACACGTGCATGTGTGCTTCCACCAGCTGATAAAAGCCAGCGAAAAGTCTCAGAAATCTGACTTTATTTAAAGAAAGATGTCCACATGCAGTCAGTAGTCACTTCCCCCTAACGAACAAAAAACGCTCCTGTTTGTAAACAAGATGCAAACTGCAGGGAGAAGGTGTTTTGCTTCATGAATGTGAGAAGGGGTTGGTTGTGGAGTTGGGGGGGGGGGGGAGTTATAGCACAGGATAATAAGCTGATGTGCTTTTTAAAACACGCAGCAAATCATAAGGTCTAACAGAAATAGATGGAGGGACAGAAGAGAGAGCACCAGGTCAACCCATGCTAAACTCAGCTAATTCTTTTTCCTCAGTGAACTCTTGCTGCACCGGGAAGCCACAGTGCCAATAAATATGGAAATTAGAGCAGCATGAAACAACAAATCCAGAAAAGCAGACCCAGAATTGTTGGACAGTTAGGACTCGACATCGGACAAGAATGGGACATTTATCTCTAAAAACTCTTCAGTTTCGAGTTATTTACAGATGTTTGTTAGAAGAAGAGGCGATGCTTCACAGTGGAAAACATGACTTTATCATCTCCTCCGTCACATCTGTAATGTTGTCTTTGTTGAGGTGTGTCTCAACTTTACCCTCGTCTTTTTTTTTTTTTAATGATACAATTTCTTAGTTTAAATATTTTATATGTTGCTTTTGTTCAGCCGGTAACAAAATGTGGGTTTATGATGTTCACAAAGCAATTACACAAGGCCCCAACTTTAGTGGGAGCAGGATTGTAGACCACCGTTATGATCTAATCCAGGTGTGTCCAAACGTCTTCATAGGTGGGCCAGAACTATCTATATGAAATGACTCGTGGGTCAGACAAATTAGAATATAGGAAAATATATACATATATTTTAAAGTGTGCTTTTATTTTTCCCCATCATTTTTAAATTCTCAACAACTTAAAAGAATATTTTGGAGAAAGGCTCAAAGCTTAGTTTAACTTATTGTAGATCCAGAACATTAGGAGTCTAATAAACTTTTACTTTTATTTATTTATTTATTTATTTAAAGAATTGAATTTATTAATTTTTTGGGGGGGTCTATTGTTTGTTATCTTGTGCTTGGAAAGTTCATTTTTGTTTATTTTCAGAGACAAAAGCCTAAAATGAGTAACTGCTCTTAAAAAAGGGGGTGGAACTTCAAACACAAGTTTGAACCATGGGAGGCCCAAAAGGGTCGTCCAAGTTCTGAATAAACAGCTGACGGTCGCTAAAACAGATTCATGGAAAGTTTGAAAGGATACTGATGAAGTTGATCAACTTGTATGTTGATGATAACAATTTAAATTATTTTAAAATGTCCAATTTTTACCCATTGATAATTTGATCAAATGAATGTTTTTTTTTTTTTGGAAACACTTGTATTTAGCCAAGTTCTATGAATTATTATCCACAATTCAACATTTTGGTAGGTCAGTGAAGGCTTGTAGGATAAAGGGCTTAATTATAGCTACATGTTTGTATTGTACTTAGGCCTGTCACAATAACAAATTTTGCTGGGCGATTAATTGTCTCAGAAATTATTGTGAAAAACAATAACATTGTTTGAAATTTGACAATAATTAGTAATTATTGTCAAATTTAAGAATAAATATTGGTTAATTTTTGCGACTAGTACCTTTTCTGACCACTGGATGGCAGCATAAGACTGTTTGAACCGAATGATGGATAGTGAGGGAGCGAGCAGCGTGTCTCTAAGAAAAATGGGAGGGAGGCCCCTTGACGTGACATGGGCTGTCTCTCTTTCCTTTTTTCGGTTCTCAAAATGGCAGATGCTCAGTGTGGTTTGAGCTCTTTAGCATAACATTTTTCACACTAAGCTTTTAATTTAAAAAACAGTAAACAAGTTCTCAGCTTCTTTTTGCAGAGAAAAAACTTTTTACACAAAGGCACAGATTTCAACCATGAATTTTGGAGCTTTCACAAGACGGATGTTTATTCCCGAGGTCGGCCTGTTAGCTTAGCTCGTAGCTTAGCTTCTCAGCTTAGCTGCTTTTAATGATCCAAAAACACGATTTGGGACGGTTAAAACAGATTTTAAAGAGAAAAGAGAAAGGGAGGGGTCAGTGAAGAGCACCTTTGCTTTTTGTCATCCAGTGTCTTCACTAAAAAGAGAGAGACACGAAGAAATGATAAAGGTGGTAAATGAAAATGAGGTTGATAATTTTAATTTATCATGCAATTAATTGATATATATTTTATTGTGACAGGCCTAATTGTACTTAATATCATTCATTTTGAGAATTTTATTTTAATCTGATATGCTGTTAAACCTAAATTTTTTTTTAATGTATCCCCATTAAATCTAAAAAAGGTATCCATCTGCATCAACCTCTTACCTGTGGGTCCAACTGGTACCATTCTTTAATTGCAGTTGCGGGCTGAACAAAATCACTCCAAGGGCCACAAATGGTCCTCGGACCACACTTTGGACACCCCTGATCTAATCCAAATAAAATATTTTACAGAACAGACAAAGTTTATGCTAATGTTGTTTTTTAGCCCGCGTTGTAGCAACAACCTGGTTTTGTGACAAACAGTGAACTGAATCAAAAAGTAAATCTGCACTAAGACTTGAGGTTGTCTATACAAACAAGTAAAACTTGCTTCATTGGCATCACAACAAAATGTTTAAAACTACTTATAAAGTGTCAAACAATCAAACCAGACGAGCAAGAGTCTGCTGAGGAAAAAAGAAGCAAAACAAATTGACCCACTTTCTCCTTCCTTTCCTCTTTCACTCTTGGTTTAGTCATAAAACAATCTCTCTTACACTATTTTGATATTAACTATCATATTTATTTTACAATTCTTCAGTTATTTATCAGTTTAACTCGTTAGGAAATGAAACAACATTCCTTTTTATAAAATTGTGATTCATCAAATTTGGAATACCCCCCATTAGCCGGGCCCCTCAGTTTCCTGTTATTGACTCTTTGTTTCCTGATCAGCTATAAATTCCCCCCCGTGGCTCCCTAGGAAGTGGCACCAGTCTGAGGTTGCACCTCTCCTCATGGTAATAATCAGATAATAAATCAAACCTATTATAATTATCATAATCATCATCTTCAAGAAATAATGTGTTGACATAGCAGAAAGAAATGGACAGAGTTACCTGGAAGTTGACCCTGTGGAACAAAAGAACGCTTGACAGAGCAGCAGAGAAGGAAAAAAGCCGTACAACCACGAACAAAGTGTTGATAACAAAAGTAAACGTGGCATGGGAAATAAAAGTAGCAGGAAACTGAGAAACTTTACAACAAAGACAAGCGGACACAACTGCACACATTGCAAAAGAAGAAAACCAAAACAAAATGAAAGAAAAGAGAGGAAAGGCAAGAAACGATGATAACGAGAAAGCACAATGAAATGAGTATTTTACACAAACAACTATCTTCGTCACTGCTGCCAAGTAAAATGGTTGCATAATATTCATTATCAATGATTGAACCCAATGCTTTGGTATTAACGTTAAATAATAAGTAACATCAAAAACTTCAGTTTTATTGGGTAGGAAATGGTCACCTGACAGCAGTGGCACAATGATTTATAGATGTAGGGTAAAAGGCACAGCAGGGTAGGTGGAATATCGCAGCAATAGTACAGTACCAGCATTGTTACTGTTTCCTATTGTTACACTATTCCACCCACCTTAACTGTGAGCCTTTCGGTGTAGCAATCCCATATCCCTTGGAGTCCAGGTTCCCTCCGACTTTCATCGTGTCGCAGGGCTTGCGCTGCTCCGTGTACTCGTTCATGGTGGACTCCAAGAGGAAGGCATACTTTCCCTTGGACTTGCGAACTCTCGCCACACCTTCTGCCGTGGTTTTGGTGAAGACAGACGGCTCAGCGGACTTCATGTAAGACCACATCTTCTCGTACACGGCTATCTTGGACCTCTGGGATGGAAAAGGAGGAAAAGGACGTGAGCAACAGTTACCTGATAATGAAAGAGCAACAAGTTATTAACAATATAAGTACAGATTTCAGCATAAATTATACAGTAGAACAATTATTGTGGAATGAGAAAGACGCTAAAAAACGTAGTGAAGAAAAATGGATCACAATAGTGTGAATGCTTCATAAGTACTTACACAATAATAACAACACAACACTTAATCTGAGTTAACAGTAAACTTTAAAGCTAATTTTAGAATTTCTCATGACATACATTTCCCAGACACAAGCACACAAAGTTCATTGTTTTCCCTCACAAATAAATGATTCAGTTAAACTACATTGTTAACTTTTATATAACCTTCATGCTGCAATACCAGTCTTAAATTTCCTTTAAAATAACAATTGGTCACAATAACTCGGTGCCTTTTCCTGATTTTCCTGCTATCTCCACAAAGTGCCTGGTGCATTAGCTGCTTGTTAAACAGTAGATATGATCATTAAAGTCACAATGTTTTATTTAAAAAGACAATATAAATGTTCAAAAATGAGAACTATCAGTAAAAACTGTGGGAGTTTCCCATCATACAGTAAAAACACTGAATTTGGACTTCAGCACTTGTTAAATATTAAATCTGATTTCACTGCACATAATTTATTGCCATGGTTTTTCTGTGATGTGGATAAAACTGTTTGAGCTGATATTCACTCTTTGAATAATATTATAGTGCTGATGGAGTCCTGTCTCTTCCATCTTCCATTGTGACCTTCTGGCATACAATGACATTTAGAACCACATTTAAAATGTAACACCATCTCTCTTTTGACAAGCCAAGCATCAGCCTTCCTCTAAATGAGTTTATGAATGGAATAGAAGAATACTAATTGGATGTGCAGTTATAAATTCAGGACAGCTTTTTCACAAGACATCTGCCGGGTGTGATAAAACCCATCGGGCTGGACTACGTCTACATCCACCTCTCAAAACAAACAAAAACCCAAGGCACATACTGTGCCAATTAAAATGCTTTTGTCTAAAAGAAACATATTGAATTTACATTTCCTAAACATTTAATTCTTCTTCATTGCGTGCAAATCTAAAGCTTAAACAAGAACTTCTTTTAACAATGATTTTCCCCACAATTATACTAATTTCTTGTAAAATTAAAGGTCTAGCTTTCCTTGATGGTATTATCCACCACTTTTAATGCCACAGTTTTGGAGTAGGTCAGTATTTGCTGTTGATGACTCACAGCTACTACCACATCAAACTGGATGGATGTAAAATCTACTGAGCCCTTTTGTTTTTGCTCATGTTTGCTACATGGCAGATTGATTTCAAAGGTTATCGTATTTTTCGGCCTGTAAGTCGCAGATTTTTTTTGCATAATTTACATGCCCTGCGACTTATAGACCGAAGCAACGTATTTATGGATTTCCCTCCATATTCATAAACCAATATTTGGCTGAGATATGACCGTTTTCAGCCCTGTGATGGACCTGCGACCCGTCCAGGGTGTACCCCGCCCCTCGCACAGTGATTGCTGGACATGGACACCAGCGACCCCCGTGACCCAAAATGGAATAAGCGGGTAAAGATAATGGATGGATGGATGGATGGATGACCGTTTTCATTCATTCTGACTGAAAAAAAAGCAGTACCATTTTCAGCTACTTGATGGCAGCAGAGTAGTAATAGCTGTATGGCATACTGTTGTATCATGTAATACGTAATAGTGGCTATAATGACAAATAAAAAAAATCAAGACAAAAACATCTGGACTTTATTTATTATACTTTACTTTATACTTTATTGTTTTTTTTTATTGAACTTTTTAGAATTTACCATGTCCTGGATGACTGAGAATCTTCACCAGCCATTAATGACTCAATCGGTTTGCCATATTTCTCCGCCTTCGTTCTGCTCGTTGCTTGGAGCAAGTCAAACCAGCTGCACTGCCCCGGCAAAATGCAGCTGATTTGACCATTAAAGTGCATTTATTAAGTAAAAGTTCAACTGAGACACACCTTTACTATAAAGTCGAGCAAACAAACAATTGTTTTATGGTGTTTCTCTTGTTAAATTTCGAAGAACTGAACAGCAGATCGTCTATCTGCGTGTGCACGCTTACTCTAATCGGGTTTTGAAATGCAGCTGTTTTGAAAGTCGCTTCAGCATTTGTAGATGCTGATTCCTTCACCGCATGTGCGGAGACGCGTGCGGTCGGTGATCAGCTGATCCATCTGATCCATCTGAGTTTAACTGGACATATTTTCTACCTCTTTCAACCGTCCAGTCGGACCTGCCTCCTCCTCAACAAGTAGATTAACACAATTTTATATTGTACATTCTTATTTAGTTTTATTTGCGCTGTATGATTTGTAAAACCACACCACAGCCTGAGACTGACAGGACCCGCCCATCCAGCACGTTATTTTTGAGCTGGGCACGGGGATCGACTTAGAAATGACAGCTCTACTCCTAGTGTAACATAGTTGCTAGTCACATGCTGAACTAAACAATAAATCTTTGGCCAAGGTTAACACATCTCACAACAGATATTTCCTCCTTCACTCTAAAACATTGAGAACACAGACGCAGCACATGTTCATAGGAAAAGATTAACTATAACTTTACCTGCATTGCTAAGGTGTTATATTATAATAATATAGTAAGTAAGTTACAAAATCATTAAAAAAATGAAATTAGATAATATAAAATGATATCCATCCATCCATTATCTTTTACCCGCTTTTTCTTTTTCGGGTTGCAGGGGTCACTGGTACCCATACCCAACAGTCAATGTGCAAGAAGCGGGGGACATCCTGGACAGGTATCCAGTCCATCACAGAATAATTATATTTAAATTATATATAAAATAATAAAATTAGATATGATGCACTTTATTGTGTTATTGTGTTGTGTGTGTGACCTCCCCTGACACCCTGCCGCAGATCCGCCGAAAAATTGTCCTGCATAAAAGGCTGGGGAACCCTGATCTAACATAATGTGAATTCTACATAATGTGTAGTAAAATGACTGATTCAGCTCTAACAGACAACAAACAGCCCCAATCTATTCAATTAGGACAACATACTTGCTTCAATAAGAACGAAAGCCACAAAACCGAATTTTTAACCTGTTATATAGAATTGTTCAACATGTTGTTTTGCACACACAGTCTTGTTGCTCTCTTCTGCAGTTTTATATGTGTAAACAGATTGGTTTCTGTGTGTGAATCGTGTGTATTCATGAGTGGAAATAACAAGCAGAGAACTGTCATCGACCACAAGCGTCTCATTTCTCGTCTCTCCTGAAATTCAAGTGTTACGTGTTGCTTTGTAAGCTACAAGCCAAGGCCTGAGGAGCTGAAACCAGCAGCAGGGGGACGGCTGGTGTGTATGCGTCAGGGTCCTGATGGTGCGTGACGGACACCTATCCCATAATAATACCACTCACATTCAAGAGATTCAATATGCCTCTCCTCTCTCTATTCCACTCCCTCACTTTCTCTCCATTCTCTGTTTTTTTATTTTATTTTTTTGTCCACCAGAGATTCTCATCACTCCCTCCAGGCCTTTTATCCACCCGTTCGTTCATCCTTCCCAGGGATGGAGACAGAAAAAGACAGAACGTTGATGTTTCTGTGCACGTATACAACAGCGTTCGCTCTTGGAGGAAATAGATGTGTGACAATGGGATGTGACTTGCAAGATTCTTTAACAATGAGTGTGACCATGAAGGAGGAAATCACCTTCATTCCTCCACAATCACTCAGCAACACACTCATACATTGTTGAGAAAGTGTCAGTCAAATGCCCACAAACATCAAACACATATTTACTTTTTTCTGTACAAAATGCACATATCCATATTTGAATATCCATATGCTAAATGTACACATACACACACACACACATGCCTACACACATACACACACAAAGATAATTAATGGTCGTGGCGAATCCTCCTCAGCTGTGGGAGATTAAATTGCTTTTTCACCCTCCACAGATTTCAGCGCTCTCGTTATGTTGATGATACCAGAGTCACTCAGCACAAACTGTCTGCCATTTGCTCACCAATCCTCCTCTGCATTCCCTCCACCCATGTGTCCAAACACGACTACAAGTACACACACCCATAGGAAGCATAACTGTGCAGAAACACACATCATACACAACTATCCAAACAAGTTAGAACAGTTGTGATGGAGAGCAATGACAGATTTCTAGTCTTGTCTGAAAAAGACAACAACAAAAAAAGTTCTTGCCTTTGCAGTTTTTAAATGCATGTATTTGTGAGTTATAAAAAGTGTTTGTGAAAATTACAATTTAAATGGGTAAACATTTTATTGTGACCACATTGTGGTCTCTTTTGGTACGTTAGATTTTACATTAATGGAACATTTTGTTGATGTATATTTGTTCTTCTTGAACAATTTTCTCTAACTATGCAGTCCTCCTATTCTCATTTGCACAATTTATCTTTTGTATGATAAACTATTATAAATATTGGTACCATATCTTTTGGCCTTTAAGTCAGTTTTTTTTTGTTGTTGCATAATTTACATGTCCTGCGACTTACACGCTGAAGCAACGTATTTATGGATTTTTTTCCCATTTGTATAAATCAATTTTTGTCTGAGATATGACCAATTTCATTCAATCTAACTGAAAATATTGAACACTACCATTTTCAGCCGCTAGATGGCACTCGAGAAGTATGGCATGCCGTTGTGTCATGTAATAGGTAAAAGTAGCTATTAATGACACAATCGGCTTGCCACAGATTGTCACCTTTATTCTGCTTGCTTGGAGCAACTGTCAGATCAGCTTCATTTTGCTGTGCTGTCCTGGAGAAATGCAGCTGATTTGACCATTGAAGTGCATTAATTAAATAAATGTTCAACTATATACTAAAATAAATCTAGCGTTCCTACTTCGCGGTTCTTCATCTATCGTGGGGATGTCTGGAACATAACCCCTGTGATAACTGACGGACTACTGTAATGAAAAAGTCACAATAAAAATTGAGTGTGTTGTGGTTATCTATCTAAATAGAAAGTTTGGACTGGAATTTCAGACAAAACTGCATCTATCAAAAACATTTCTGCCTGGCTTTAAATGTTATATTACAAAGTATAATAAAACAAAAACCTTCCTCCTTTTCACCAGAGGACCCCCCTCCCCCCAGTCTCTGCAGCATAAACTCAGCAGCAAATAAACTCAACGTAACGTAAGTACTTGTGAATCAGCAGAGAGAGTCGGATCCTTACTCTGAAGAACTCTTTCGTAGAGCCCGAGTCCAGCGTCCCGTAGGCTATCTCTGTTTGTTTAGCCAAGTCCTCTGCACTTTCTATAGGCGAGACCATCCTCTCCACGGTGAGGAAAGCAGCCAGGTTGGCTGTGTAAGAGGAGATGATGATAAGAGTGAAGAACCACCACACACCTCCAACAATACGTCCAGACAGGGACCTACAGAGAGTGTTCAGAAGGTGGAGGTGAGGAGTTACAGGTAGAAAGAAAAGATGACATTTGAAGAAAAAACAAGGGTGGTGGGAAGATCAAGAAGATAAAAGAGTTGATAGAATAAATGGAAAAAGGAACAGAGGGATGAGGTGGAGATGGGAAAAGACGAAGAGAATGAAACAGAGAAGCAAACACAATTACAGTCAGGTCTTGAGTCAGGGATATGTTAAGTTATTTTTTCACTAAACATTTTAATACTACTATGTAAGCTGCTAGGGCTGCCAAAACAATTGTCTTCCAGGCTCCAAAGAATCTCTGCACCGGCAGTAACAGGCTACACATAAGACAGATTGCAATCTGGACGCTCCTCCGTCTCATTCTCAGACCCATTCTCTCCTTTTTCCTCCATTACTCTCTTCATATACTGAGCAAGCAGAAGCATCAGAGCAAGTGGCAATTTATTTATTTATTTGGAGGTGGGGTGTTACATGAACTTGTTGTTTAGCAAATAAAGGTAGCAGAGCAAACAACGTGGCTCTGAAAACGAGAGAGAAAGAATAGTAAAATGATCATTTGAGCATCAAATGCTGCAGTCAGTAAAAGGCTTTGTTATTCTAATAAGAAGCAGAAACAGCAAATGCTTATTGCTTAGCAAAAGATGAAAAACAAACCGGGAAGGTTTGTGTATGAGAAATACATTTACACTTCACCATTAATCTTTAAAGAATGAAAATATTTTAAAAAGAAGCAACGTTCAAAGAGAATATTTGGGCCGGTCTCACGCTGGGTTACTTTTTTGCAGCAGGATGGGTTCAGCATTCATTTCAAACGCAGGTTCATTGTAAAGCTCAAGGATGTTCAGATTTACATTTTGTATTTAAATTATTTATGATGTGATATGGGCAAAGGACATAAGCATTGTAATGATTCATATTTATAAGAATGATTAAATGTATACCAGTGAAGCACTAATCATGTTAAAACTGTGTCTAAAAAAGGACTGCAATATCAATACTGCAAACTTGTACTGTAATAAGTCGTGAACTTAATTAGAGGTTTTCATGCTCATGCCTGATTTAGATGATAAAGCCTGAAAGGCTAAACACAGAAAATGCTGTGAGCATTGTGATGACAGAACATAAGGAAAGAAAAATGTGCCATTCTTGTAGCTGATATCATCATCAGTTCCATACATCCATTCATTTTCATTCACTTGTTCCAGAATCAGGTCACGAGGACAGCGGCTTGCAGGGAGGCCCAGACATCGTTCCACAAACACCTCTTCCAGCTCTTCTGGGAGGACTCCAAGGTGTTCAGATTTTCAGGTTTCAGGTTTGGTTTATTCGTCATATACAAAATACCATACCATACCATACCATACCATACCATACCAATTTATTTATATAGCACTTAAAACAGCAACAAGGCCAACCAAAGTGCTGTACAAAAGAACCAAACATACACAGCAGACAGGAAAACCTAAAATAGAAATACAGATACAAATAGCAGCAGAAGCTAACTAAAATGGCCAACAGAGTAGAGAACAGACCGGACCAAAACAAATCACACCGTGTTAAAGGCAAGCGAATAGAAGTGGGTCTTCAAGCGAGACTTAAAGACTGAGAGTGTGGGAGCCTGCCGGACACTCAGTGGCAACTCATTCCACAGTCGTGGACCTGCAACAGAGAAAGCCCTGTCACCTCTGAGCTTACGACGGGTTTCTGGGACTGAGAGAAGCATCTGGTCTGCTGACCTCAGAGAGCGCGGTGGGACATATGGCTGCAGAAGATCAGTGAGATAGGATGGGGTGGAACTGTTCAGTGATTTAAAAACATACATGAGAATTTTGAAATGGATCCGAAGGTGAATGGGTAGCCAGTGCAGGGAGGCCAAAACTGGCGTGATGTGCTCTCTATAGCCTGTACCAGTTAAAAATCGGGCTGCAGCATTTTGGACCAGTTGTAGACGAGCAATGGAGGACTGACTGATTCCAAACAAAAGTGAATTGCAGTAATCAAGCCTAGATGTTATGAAGGCGTGGATCACTGTCTCGAGGTTCTTTTTGGAGAGTATAGGCTTCAGCTTAGACAGCCGTCTCAGCTGAAAAAAACAGGATTTGACCATCATGTTTACGTGACTGTTGAGTTTTAAGGACGGGTCCATTATCACCCCCAGATTAGTCACCTTTTGTTTCTCTAGCGGGGCTAGAGAGAAAAGGTCAATGTCATGGTTCATGAGTGAGCCACTGGGATGGAACAGCATGACTTCAGACTTCTTCTCATTGAAGCTTAAGAAGTTTAAAGCCATCCAGTCCCGGATGTCAGCCAGGCAGTCAAGAAGAGGCTGAATAGAGCGTGTGCCTCTGTGCCTCAGGGGGAAGTAAATTTGGCAATCATCGGCTTAGAAATGAAAGGGTATGTCGTGTTTGCGGAAGATAGCACCTAGTGGCAGCAGGTATAAAGAAAAGAGAAGGGGACCGAGGATGGACCCCTGCGGTACCCCCCACTGGAGTGCGGTCGATGCCGAACTAAAATCTTTGATATTGACACAGAAGGTTCTGTCAGAGAGGTAGGACCCAAACCATTTAAGGGCTGACCCTGTGATGCCCACCCACTGCTCCAGTCTAGAAATGAGGATATTGTGGTCGATGGTGTCAAAAGCAGATGTAAGGTCCAATAGGACAAGCAGCACAGAATCACCTGCGTCTGTGGATATGAAAATGTTGTTAAAAACCTTCAGTAGAGCAGTTTCAGTGCTATGGAGAGATTTGAAGCCAGATTGGAATAACTCTAGGATAGCGTGATCCCCCAAAAACTGTTTCAACTGAGACTCCACAATTTTTTCCAGTAGTTTAGAGGTGAATGGGAGTCTGGAGACAGGCCGGAAGTTGGACATGACTGAGGGGTCAAGGTTAGGTTTTTTCAGGAGGGGCTGGACAGCAGCATGTTTAAAAGTCTTTGGCACCACACCTGAGGATAAACTGCTATTCAGAATAGCGAGGATAAAAGGACCCAGGGTAGGAAAAACTTCCTTTAGCAGTCGAGGGGGGACCACATCAAAGGGGGAACCAGATGGCTTCATGCTGCACATTACCTGCTCCAGAGAGGACAGAGAGATGGGCTCAAAGTGGTCAAACACAGCCACACACTGAGAAGGGATGGACAGATCATGAGCTGGTGGAGAAATGAGTGCCCGGGTGTTTGCCACTTTTTCTAAAAAGAAATGGAGGAAGTTCTCACACAGCTCAGTTGAGGCTTCCAGAGGTGAAGGCTCACTGAGGTGTAGAACTGAGTTCAGGGTGGAGAAAAGAACTTGGGGTTGTGGGAGTTGGAGACAATTAAATCAGAAAAGAATTTACATTTGGCAGCTTTAACGGTTTTCTGATAGTGACGCCAACTCTCCCTTAACATTTGAAAAGACACCTGGAGCCTGTCCTTCCTCCACTTTCGTTCAGCTCTGCGACACTGCTGCCTAACGGCTCGCGTGACGTCATTCAGCCAAGGCTCTGATTTAAGTTTCGTTTTTCTGGTCTTAAGGGGAGCAACACGGTCCAGAACATCTAAACAGGCAGAGTTGAACTGAGAGGTTAGCTCCTCAGTGGTAAGAGACACCGAGAGCTGTTCGATCCTCTCAGAATTAAAACCTTCATTAAAACGAGCAGCAGTGAAATGGTTAATGGAACGCGTACGTGCAGGAACGCGCGTCTTAGCAGTAGGACAAGGGGGGGTGAAGTCAAACAATATAGGCATGTGATCTGAAAAAACATTGTCACCGATTTTCAAATTAGAAACAGAGACATCGTGTGTTAAAACGAGGTCCAGCGTGTGACCATGTTCTTGGGTGGGGCCGCTCACCTGCTGAGCTAAGCCAAAAGAGTCCAATAAATCCAGAAAGTCCTTCACTAAGGGCTTCTCCTGACAACACACATGCAAATTAAAGTCACCAATAAGCAAAAAGTGAGTGTATCTCTGTGTGATATCAGCCAAAAAGTCAGAGAATTCATTTATGAAGTCCTTAGAACGAGGTGGGCGGTAGATGAGCGCACACAGGACCGGAGGGCAGTGTCCAAGTTCAAAGGCGCTCAGCTCGAAGCTGGCGCGGGACACCGGGATGGACAACTGTTTACACGCAAAGTTTGCTTTAAAAACTGTTAATAATCCCCCCCCGCGCCGACCTGATGGCCGCGGGGCATTGAAACATACACAGTCCGGAGGAAGTAGTTCCACCAAGGCGCTGGACTCACCATCAGAAATCCATGATTCTGTGACGAACAGAAAATCCAACTCCTCATCTTGAAAAAAGTCATTGAGGATAAACGTCTTGTTGGAAACAGACCTTGCGTTGATTAAACACATCTTGATATTGTCCGACACAGGCATAGCCGTGGAGGGAGACGCGCGCGCCAGCGGGCGCAGGTTATGAAGAACAGCTCCTCCTGGTCTGCTGGTGCGGCGCACAGGTAAACAACTCCAGGTGTTTCCATGGACTGAGCGCGCGGGCAGCTGGCCAGCAGCCGGGCCCCGGGAGCACCACGGGTCAGAGAGGAGATGATCAGATCCAGAGCGAGTCCTGTTAGAATAATCCACACTTTGCCTCAGTTTCACCAAAATCCCTGCACGCTTCCCACGACGTCTGCGACGTTTCCTCCATGGAGAAAGGCCAGAGTCACGCAGAAGGAACACAGGAATCTCAGATAGGACCGGTGGGGGAGAGTGCTGACCGCTGTTCAAAAACTCCGCGGGAATTTAAGCAAAAGTACGGAGCTCCAAAAGTGCCCGACGATCATACTGAAAATATGACTCGGCACACTGCACAAACCATTGTAAAAATAACAAAAATAAAATACAAGCAGAGAGCGAGAGACGGGCAGCCCTACACACCGGCGCCATCTTGCCTTTAATTAACACAAGGTTAACAATGCAATGAAACGCTCAAGACGAGAAGAACCGTCTCGACTCGGCACAAACCCCCAGCAACAACAAATGCCAAAGCATGCAACAAAAATA